AGGGATTTCCTGGAAGACATGGATTTCCTGGAAGACTTGGATTAGCTGGAAGACGTGGATTTCCTGGAAGACGTGGATTAGCTGGAAGACGTGGATTTCCTGGAAGACGTGGATTAGCTGGAAGACATGGATTTCCTGGAAGACGCGTATTTCCTGGAAGACGCAGATTTCCTGGAAGACGCAGATTTCCTGGAAGACGCAGATTTCCTGGAAGACAGGGATTTCCTGGAAGACACGGATTTCCTGGAAGATATGGATTAGCTGGAAGACATGGATTTTCCGGAAGCTATGGATTTTATGGAAGACAAGGATTTTCTGGAAGATGTGGATAGGCTGGAAGACCTGGAGGTCAATTGGAAGACATGGATCCTCTGGAAGACATGCTTTTTTTGGAAGACGTGGATTTTCAGGAAGACCTTAATTGTCTGGAAGACCTGGATTTTTTGGAAGACAGATTTGCTGGAAGACTCTGAGGTTACCGGAAGACATGGATTTTCTGGAAGACATGGATTTTCTGGAAGACATGGATCTTCAGGAAGACATGGATCTTCAGGAAGACATATATTGGCTGGAAGACCTTGACATTATTGGAAGACATGAATTGTCCGGAAGACATAGCTTTACTGGAAGACCTGGATTTAGTGGAAGAAACTGATTTTGTCTGGAAGACACGGGTTGACTGGAAGACTTGATTTGGTGGAAGACATAGATTGACTGGAAGATCTGGATTGATTGGAAGACCTAGATTTAGTGGAAGACATAGATTTTTCTGGAAGACATGGACTGACTGGAAGACCTGGATTTCTTTCTGGAAGACGTTGATCAATTGGAAGACCGGATTTATTCTGGAAGACCTGGATTGATGGGAAGACTTGGATTTGAAGGAAGACATAGATTTTTCTGGAAGACACAGATCAGCTGGAAGACCTTGAAACTATTGGAAGACATGGACTGGCTGGAAGACCTTGAAATTATTGGAAGACATGGATTTTCCGGAAGACGTGGATTTTCCTGGAAGATCTGGATTTTGTGGAAGACCTACCATCACTGGAAGACTGGATTTACTGGAAGACTTGGAGACTGCTGGAAGACGTGGGTTATCTGGAAGACATGGATTTTCTGGAAGACATGGATTGTCTGGAAGACCTTGAGGTTATTGGAAGACTTGGAGTTGCTGGAAGACCTGGAGTTGTTGGAAGACCTTGACACTGGCGCCATTGGAAACCCTGGACATTGGAAACATTGGAAGCACAGGATGTTGGAGACATTGGAAGCCTTGGATTTTGGAGACATTGGTTACTCTGGACACTGGAGACTTTGGTGGCCCTGAACATTGGGATATTGGATATTGAAAGGCACAGACACTAGAAGCCCTTGATATTACAGACACTACAACTCCTTTACCTGGGAACACCTAAACACCAGCAGGTATAGATAATAGAGGAGACTGGCATTTAGAAATCATAAAATAAGAAGCCCTGGATATAGGGAAACATTGGAAAATCTGGATATTGACATATTTCTGATAAAAGATATAAAATTTGGAAGAATTAAGTTTTAATGATGTCAGAATTTGAGAATGCTGGCAAACCTGGATATTAGGAGATCTAAATGTTAAGGGCAGTCCTGGGTATTAGGAGATCTAGATATTAAGAGATCTAAATGTTAAGAGACATAGCCATTCAGACATCAGGGATACTAGGACACCTGAATATTGAAAGACCAGATCTTTAGATATCAAAAGACTTGCCACTGGAAGAACAAACAATAAAAAGAAACCGTAAAACCAGAATTTAAGAAAAAAATATATATATATGAACTGAATGATATAAATGCCTGAAGATATTAGAAAAGTTAGACTTGGACACTATGAAATACATAAACTCTAGAAGACCTGTATTTAGGAAATACTGAAGGATTGGTTCCATAGAAGTCTTGGAAGTTACAACTCTGGACACTGAAAGAGACAGAGAATACATGGACCTTAAAGACTGGTGACAATATTGGAAGACCTAGACTTTTAATGACTCTTATTGATATTAGAAAATGTGGGCACCAGAGATGCTGCAGGTCAGAGACTGGAAGATATGGACATTAAAATATGGGGAAGATCTGGCAACTAGAGATGTTGTGAAGCTGTGGATATTGGAAGACTTGAATTAGAGACAACAAAGACTGGAAAGGCCTAACCTTAGAGATATTTAAGGCCATGTTTAGAGATATTGTCCATATTGACAAACTTGTACATTAGGGCTAAGACATTACATTAAAAAGTAGGCGAATCATGAGACTATAACTTATGACCACAGCATTTCTTCTATTCAAAAGCAAAATACAGGGGAAAGACATTTTAAGAACATGACAAAGAGGAAGTAGGGAAATTCAAGTAAAAATAAGTAGTTTGCATGGGTTGGAACCTATCTTCATAGTCTCAATGAACTGGTCTTCTGGGCTCTGTGGGTAGACAAAAATAGGAATGGGGAATTACCAAAGAATAAGCATATCTAAGCAAGGGGAACTACTTGGCTCTATATCAAGGTTCAGCAAATAGTTTCTATAAAGGATTAGACAGTAAATATTTAAGACTTTGCAGGCCACATGACCTCTTTTTCAACTATTTAACTCTGCTACTATAGTGCATCCATAGATAGTGAGTAACAGTGAGGATGGTTATGCTACAATAAAACTTTGTTTAAAAAAAATATCAACTGTGTTGGATTTGGTCCGATGGTCTGTTTTCCAATCCCTTGAGATGCCAAATCTAGAGTATGGTGCATGCCAGGCTAGCATTCATATTCAAGAGAAAAACATGGAGCATTCTGAAGTCCAGTATAAATGAAAATACCATGTGATATGATGACACTCTGGAGAGTAGGCTGGCAAGAACCCAAGAAGTGAGTGTAGATCTCTAGGTAACTGTTTCAGCTACATGGACAGAAGCCTTGAATTCAGAGCCGAAATTAAATGGGTTTCATTCAGATCCCCAAGCAAGGGGGCCGAGGGTCCCTGAAGATGTCCTAATTTAGTAACCTGGAGGCTTGAGAAGAAACCACATATATGGGCATATATGGAGGGGAACATGAAAGAGATTATAGATTGATGGGCTCATCTCAGGCACCCTGGCTTCAGGTAATACATGTCATTTTTGCTTTTATCTACCAGAGCTCAGGTGCCAAGCTTATGGAATCAGAGTTAAGCTATAGACTGAAGGTCCTTAGTCCTTATATAAGGCTGAGAAAGACAGGGACTATCACATATATGACACGAAAGAGAACACAGGCAGTCAAAAGTGGTAAGGTACTCTGGGACTAGGCCATGAGTTAAAGATTAAACAGTAGAATATACAGACAATGGGCAGTCACTGAAAGTTTTTGAACAAGTAAGTATCTACAGAACTATACACAAGGAAAGTTAGTTGAGCAGCAAGGTACCAATAGTAAAGACTAATAAGTATATATACAAGGACAGCTTACAACACTTAAAGGGTTGGGATGTGAAGCCATTGCAGTAATACTGGAAAGGGGTTTGAATTAAGGCAGTGATAGTTCTGTCACCCAACAGACATAGCACCAGAGTCATGAAGAATATTCAGCATTCTGAATATCACTACTTTCAAGTTCTTGAATGCCATCACAAATAGATGAAGTACAAAGAAGTATAGATGCTAGTTATGAGGAATGTCCTTGCCTAGTAAGATGAATTAGATTAAAACAACTTCTCTCAAAGACAGAGGAGCTAAAAACTTGACAGCCAAGCAAAGTAGGTTCTATGTAGCTTCATCTTTACCCCTTATACCAATCAGAGTGACTTCATTATCTTTAAAGTGGATCTAAGGGGCTGGATTATTTAATAGAGAATGGGAATATATCCATGTCAAAAAAGCTATCATCTCTAACCATCATATTAATAAATATCATATAATGATAACCACATTATAAATACAGCACAAATAATCACTGCAGGACAAAGAGTAACTTAGGAACAAAGGAAGTATTGCCTTAGGTATCTGTCTTAAGGAAAGAAAAATATTAAAAAGCATTTCTTATTCCTTATCTTAATACCATCAATGCATACCTTACTTGGAGGGAAATGAAATATTAAATTGTTGCCAAAACAGAAGTAAAAATTCTAGTCAGATAATGTTTATTTATGTTATAATAATAATAACAGCAATGATTTATTGAGCGCTTACTATGTGCCAGGCACTGCACTAAGCATCTCATATACTCTCATAGCAACCCTAATAATGCAGGTATTTTTGACCCCGTTTTACAGATTAGACACTGAAATCTGCAATGGTTAAGAAACATGCCCAGTCACACAGCTGGTAACTGGGAGGGGCAGGATTTGAAAGCAGGTTTGTCTGATTCCAAAGCCCAGGCTCCATGCTGATTCCTGACACTCACAAACCCCCAAAGTTATACTGCTAGGACTCAGCACTACTCATAGAAAGACAGGGAGGGGTCAGGCACAGTGGTGCACACCTGTAATCCCAACGGCTGGGGAGGCTGAGGCAGGAAGATTGTGACTTCAAAGCCAGACTCAGCAAAATTGAGGCAGTAAGCAACTGAGCGAGACCCTGTCTCTAAATAAAATACAAAATAGAGCTAGGGATGTGGCTCAGTGGTTGAGTGTCCCTGAGTTCAATCCCTGTACAAAAAAAAAAAAAAAAAAAGGAGGCCCCAACCCCAAGTAGATAGGAAGTTGGTCAAAGCCCTCACTCTGAGTCCCATGTCCTTCTCATTTTTATGCTCATCATACTACTGCCAAGAAGTCAAGAGCCAACTCTAGGTATTTGGCATGATGGTTAGCAATGCAAGAAGGATGAAGTGGATGTCTCAAGTACGCCAGATTCATATGTAATTTCTCAATATTTGGTATTCATGCTTGAAATATTTCATTTATTCTTTTATCTATTTTCTGTTTGATTTTAAGGTTCACTAACATATATATATATATATATATATATATATATATATATACATACACACACACACACACACATATATATATATATATATATATATATATATACACATACTCTGTTCACAGCAAATTTCTTTCCAAATACCTAACCAACCATAACCCACCAACATCAAAGAACATTAAATGATAATAATACCATGAAAAGTTCAGTGATCAATGTATTTCACATCACAACCATTGTTCACAGAAGCCATCAGACTTAAACACGCTGTGGAAACCCTTGACCAGCATTCAGGTGGCAGCAGCTATGTGATCCAGATGTAATTTAAAGAGCTGGCTCTGCACTGAACTTAAATTGAACTTTAAAAGATTTTAAATAAAAAAGATCTTTTTAAATGTAATACCAGTTTTTAAATATATTCTCCACATTTCAGCAGCCTGGACTGCCCTTTCTCCCCACTTTCTTTCTTTTTTTGCCAGAGGGTTGAAATATATCTATAAAGAAGGAAGTTTCAAGGTGCTTCTTAATATCATCTCAAGAACTCGCCCCCCCCCCAAAAAAAAAAAAGAGAAGAAAAATAAAAAAGAACTCGCCCAAACCATTTGGCAACAGAAAGGGCCTTTCTACTAAAACTACTCAAAGAAATGTCAGCATATAACCTACTCAGAGAAATGTTAGCTTTTCAATTTGGGGGGCTATTTTTCACTTAAAGAAGAACAATACCTGTTTACACTATAGTGCTGTCATGAAGTTCTATTGCTCCATTTAGCCTATACCAAACCTTCACATCCTCCTGTGAGTTCTACTGACTTCTTGAACTGAACTACATTAAAATATGTCCATTATTTACCCTTATCAGTGATACTTCTTAGATTATTTTAACTGAATTTTGTCTTAAATAAGAACTAGATTCATTCTAACATTTATTTCAAATGACTTAGGCCCCAGACAAATGTTTCCATCTATCAAGCCAAGGTCCACAACAAATAAGATTATATGATGTTCAATTCCTCACTGGATGCTGTGGCAAACGCCTGTAATGTCAGCAGCTCAGGAGGCGAGGTAGGAGAATCACAAGTTCAAAGCCAGCCTCAGCAACTTAGTGAGGCTCTAAGCAACTTAGTGAGACCCTGTTTCTAAATAAAATATAAAAAGGTCTGGGGATGTGGCTCAGTGGTTAAGCATCCCTAGGTTCAATCCCTAGGGTACAAAACAAACAAACAAAAAACCATGCTAATTTTATTATTTTCCATTAAGAGTTCCTAGTGGATGCAATTCAATTTAAATTTTGATTTCTCTAATTCTGGTCTAATTAAGAGAAACAAGAGCCAAGGCAGTAATCTCAATGAATGCTACATGATTGGGAAAGCTTATGCTTTAAAAGCATATAGAAGCACTGATTATAAAAAATATACTGATTAAAAAAAGATCATTGGCTTAAAAATATTTACTTCTAGGCATGATTAAGAATAAGCAAATTAGCTGGGCACGATGGTACACGCCTGAAATCTGAGCAGTTCAGGAGGCTGAGGCAGGAGGATCATGAGTTCAAAGCCAGCCTCAGCAAAAGTGACATGCTAAGCAACTTAGTGAGACCCTGTCTCTAAATAAAATACAAAATAGGGCTGGGGGTGTGGCTCAGTGGTTGAGTACCCCTGAGTTCCATCCCCAGTACCCACCCTCCAAAAAATAATTAAGCAAATAACCCACAGAAACTTGAAATATTTACCACACAGACTTCTCCACTTAGGTTTATGGAAACAATAGATGCAAAGTGTTAAGATGTTTTATACACTAATATTTATGTATTATTTTACCTACATCCTATAACCTAGAAGAAAAAAACATAAGTAGAAATGGGAGGTACTTTCTATTTTTCTTTTCCAGAAATTGATGCTACATATACCTTTTTTTCCTAAGGCACCTATGCCTAACTTTCTATTCTGGAAGGGACTAAAATGTGAATCACAACTCTTCAAATAATAAGAAAAGAAAATAATATTACTACTTACCTTGGTCTCTAAGAAAGGGCTTAAGGTACTCCCAAGGTCAACCAATGAGGCTGATAAACTTTTCTCTCAAGAATATCTGTCATCTCAAGTAACTATGCAGGCATGTCCTTGTAGCCTTCATCTTCTCCCCTTTTTCCTGATCACTTCAAATTCAGTTATGGGGAGCCTATCATTCAGACTTCCAGACTGGGGAGAAAATTACTGGATTCCCCCATTCCTAATCACAACTCATGTAGGTTCCTTCTATGTTTCCTCTAAGAGCAAATTCAATTTATTCTGTGCTGTCATTTTTCATGCTGTTACTCAAAGGTAGCATTTATTTGACTACTGCACCCAAATCTCATCATTCCAGGTTGTCTTTATGGTTTTTAGCTATATAAGTTCCTTTTTGGCAACTACATGCTGAAGAGTTATTTTTCCTCCTTTTCCTATTCAGGATGTTTGCTCTTCATCATGACATATAATTATGGTGCCAGTACAACAATGCTGGCCCAAGCAGCAGTTAAGAGAGAAGAAACAACAATGCTATTTAGACTTCCTGTCTCTCTGGTTCCCAGAGTAACTGTCCAACTGAGTTCAAAATAGACATCCAATGAGACTGTGTACAAGTAGCCAAGAGAACAGTAGGTTCCTAATGTCTTTGCTAAGAATTCTTAGAATACTATATTAGCTTCATTTCTCTGGCTTTCTGACTTTATTTTTCCCATCTGTTAAATCTGCCTGGAGAATTCCAAAATTGAAACAATGACTTCTATAAAAACAATTGAGTTGAATAAAGTAAACATAAGGGATACAGTGGGAATAAAAAAATGTTCAATCTGGAAATGAATTCTCCAGCACAGGAAGTATCAGAATCTAGCGGGATATTCTACTGTTCAAATTACTGGGAGGCCAGATTTGAGAACAGAGAGGAACCACAGAAATGAAGTATAACAGCTCTTCCTCCTTAGTTAGGTAACAATGTAAATCCAGGAATTCTGCACAAATGTACTGCCTTTCAAGACCAGCCAATAGCTAAGTTATAGAATCACTGCAAAACAAATTAACTTAGAGCAGACTAGTCCCTTCTGGTAAAAAAGCAAGTTAGGCTTAGTCAGAAGTGAAACAACTTTCAGGATCAGGAGCACAAAATCAAATTGTCAAATCAGATATTGCAGTCCCCTCCCTATGGTTGAGTTCCTGAAACCCCCACACTATCTGTGCTGGAGAAATTTAAGACCTTTTAGGGAAAAAAAGGGGTTGGGGGAGGGAGCAGAGAAGAGAATACTGTGAAAGCCGGGACAACTGGTTTGTTCACTGAAGTAAATGTCAATGATATTTTGCACATTCTACATTAGCAATACTGGTTACTGGACAATGATTTCTATTTCTCTCTGACTTCAGGGTAAGGATGATAATGCACCAGTGAAAGTACTGGTCGCGGCAGTAGCAATTGGGAAAGGAAAGAGAAAATGGGAATCGGTTTGCAGAGAAGTGAGCTCAGTCTTCTGCTCCAGTTTCATCCCCAGCACATGGGTCACCACGTCGCCATCAGAGTCTAGAGCTATCAGAGTCTAACCCCTCGATCCAGCTATCCTGTGTGCGGTGCTATGTGTGGAGCAGGTCTGAACGGCATGGCAGATGGTCCAGATTCTTCTCCCCTGTTAAAAGATCAGAGACAAAACACTTAATGACTTCTCTTTGCAGGTTTCCTATGACTGCTTCATAGGGTTGTGAGTCATCAGTTAAGCCTTGCCTGAAGGTCATATATCCCCCTGCAGGTCCTTTTTCTTCTGAGTCATCCCAACAATTTGATTTTCAGAGTAGGTGCCTCAACTTTGAGTTCTGGAGGTTAACCTACAGCGGCATCTTCTATCAACATTTGGTGATCACATCTATGAAATATTTCTCAACCATCTTCTCAGGGTGAGAGTCACTTAGGGCAATGTCACTTAACTTAATCTCTTCAAACCCTCTACCACTCAACTATTTTTGCAAATGTTATAACATTTTCGATTTCTTCTACCACTGGACAGAGGCCTTCAGTATCAGTTTTTAAAATATATATATATATATAAACTTTATTTTATTTATTTATTTATTTTTATGTGGTGCTGAGGATCGAACCCAGGGCCTTGCACGTGTGAGGTGAGAGCTCTACTGCTGAGCCACAACCCCAGCCCCTCAGTATCAGTTTTAGCCTCATTCCAAACTTCTGCCAGATTTCATTAAGGGTTGATTATTTTCTTCCTCTCACTTATTTGTCTACTATTGTTAAGCCATTACAAATGGAGAAATTTTGCCAAGCTACTTTCTTGGTGCTGAGTACAACATGAACCTCCAGGATGTGGGAGTTGAAAGAGTGGAGCTACCCTGGGGTAAATGCAAATCAGCATCCACAGTGGGAACAGTGTCCAAAACCGGCAACACTTTTGATATGCGATTGTTTTCATTTAAATATTGTTTAACCTCAGGAACAAAACATTTCAAAGACCAGTTCAAAAAGAATTTCTCAGTGATCCATATTTTATGGCTTCCCTTCACATAGACAGAAAAGCGTTTCTGAGATTCTCTTTCAAGAGGGCAAGGATTTCAGAATTTCTGAAGCAAACTAAAATTAACAGGGAAGTCACTAGAAGCAATGGAACAAAGCAGGACTTTGAGCTTGTCTTTTCCAGGCCTGAAGCCTCTGGTTCTTTTGTCATCCTTTGCAGTGGATATGCAAGTTGGCATGCGCTTCGAGAACAGGCCCATTTCACCAGCACTGAAGACCTGCTCTTCGGACCAATGGCCAGTTCCTCCATTAGTGACTTCCATTATTCAGGATACTCTGTGGAAGCTTCAAAACCTGCTTCCTCTGCCAGGCACTTCTTTTCACACAGACCACAACATTTCTTAAGCCCATCCAGCCACCCATAATGAATTGTCATTGTGATGAATGTCATTGTTTTTTGAACAGAACGAAAATCCAACTTACATTTTTGTGATGCTCACTGGAGGATGACACATACAGCAGAGAGGCCTCTTCAGCCTTCTGTTTTTAGAGACCGTAAGTGTAAATCTACTTCCATTTTCTCTATTCTGACATTTCAAGTTATGTATGATTTTTCCCAATGATTCTGGTGTATCCCTCAGTACACTGGCCCAAATACCTTCCTCCTTTTTCCTTATTGTACAAATTATTGATTTGTTAACATGAAAAATGCCCTATGGAGTTCTTGCTTTCCCCATTATCGATCATTTGAAGAACTCTCCTTTTGTTTGATATCAACATTACCTTTCTCACCTTTACACTCTTTTTGCATTCCTATCATCTCTCTTTTGCTTGGTGACCATTCTTACCCTAACTCATGCAAATTTATAATGATCGACAGATTTGTATCATTGAGCAGTATACATTATTACTTTGTAATACATATCTAAATGATACGATTCACAAGACAAATAAAAAGAGCTAAACGGTTTCTGTGTGACAACATGTATGTGATTACTGGCTACAAGGAAGCAACAACAGTCAGAAGAAAAAGGACAGAAGCAAGCAACCTAAATGTTGGTCTTGTCACATGAGTCCATCAGCAAGATGACAAGATAGTGACTTCAATCTGCATATTGTGCTCAAGCTCTCAAAGGTGAAGACGTGAATTCAAATGTTTCGTGAGAATGACTTGCAGTTGCGAAGGGATCACGGATCTCGGGAGTCAAGGTCAGACTACCAGGCTGAGGCAAGAATCATAAACACCACCACTGGGAGACACAGATACAAAAATACGAAATTAAGGGCTAGGGCTGGGGCTGGGGCTCAGCGGTAGAGTGCTCGCCTAGCACGTGTGAGGCCCTGGGTTCGATACTCAGCACCACATATAAATAAATAAATAAATAAATAAGTGTATTGTGTCCAACTACAACTAAAAAATAAAATATTTTTAAAAATAGGAAATTAAGTCAGGAACAGAGGTAGTTTGAACTATTTACAAGGTAATGAGGACAGAAATTTAGAATAATAATATATGCCAAATTGCCCTTACAAATCTTGTACCAACTTGCACACACACTAACAATGGATGAGACTGCTTTTCCCTTTGTGCTCTCACCAACATTGTTGACCTTTATGATACAGGCCAATTAGAAGGTGAATAACATGGTATCTGTCTCTCTCTTTCTCTCTCTCTCTATTTTTTGGTACCAGGGATTGAACCCAGAGGTACTTAACCACTGAGCCAAATCCCTAGCCCTTTTGTGTATTCAATTTTAGAGACAGGGTCTCACTGAGTTGTTTAGCACCTTGCTAAATTGCTGAGGCTGGCTTTGAACTTTTGAGCTTCCTGCTTCAGCCTCCCAAGCCCCTGGGATTACAGGCATGCACCATTATCCTGGCTTCATTTTGGCTTTAATTTTCACTTCTTCAGTCATCTTTCCATATGGTGATCTGTTTCTATTCATCTTTAGTTTCCTCTTTAAATCCTTTCTCCACTTGATCATTTCTGTCTTATTGATTTGCAGGTATTGTTAGCATTTTAGGGAACTCATTTTTTATGCTATCTATGGGGCAAATATTTTCTCCAAGACTCTCATTTACTTTTAAATTTTACTTTGTCTTTTGCCATAAAAATGTTTCCAATATTTATATAATCATACCTTGCTTTGAAAGCCTTCTCCTCATTAATATTAGAGAAATACATTCTCTTGTTTTCTTTCAATGTTTTTAAAGTTCTGTGGTGGTATTTTAAGGCATTGAAGAAAGGATGGACTACTCAAAAAAAAAATGGCGTTGGAAGAAATGAGTGTCCATCTACAACCACCTGGAGATCTCTCTCAGTGAATTCTTTATGTGTAGAGCTAGCAGGTTCTAATACTTACAGAGCTTCAAGGTGGCCAAGTTGGTATTTCAGTTTCAAAGATCAATTTTAAGGATTAGGGTAGCTTGGGGAGGGAAGCATTGCCAAATGAATAATTACTGTGAATTTTGCTGGCTAAAGTTCTATTTTTGTGCCAATCACGGGTAGCAAAAAAAAAACCATAATGCCCAGAAATGGTGACCAATGATGAAATTTCCACAAAGTCTTTCTTTCTTTTTCTTTTTTTTTAATTTAAAGTTGCCGTATGGCAATATGTAAATCAATGGATGTGTAACTGATGTGATTCTGCAATCTGTATATGGGGTAAAAATGGGAGCTCATAACCCACTTGAATCAAATTGTGAAATATGATATATCAAGAACTATGTAATGTTTTGAACAGCCAACAATAAAAAATTAAAAAAAAAAATAAAAATAAAAAAAAATAAAGTTGCCACTTTTGAAACCTTTCTGAAACAGGGTTTAAATCCGGCACTTCCTCCACTTTAAAACACTCTTGAGGGGCTGGGGTTGTGGCTCAGTGGTAGAGCGCTAGCCTCACACATGTGAGGCCCTGGGTTGGATCCTCAGCACCACATATAAATAAATAAATAAATAAATGTATTGTGACCAACTACACTTAAAAAAAAAAAAACACTTCTGAGTCCCCAGTGGCTCAACAAATAAAGTCCAGCCTGTGCCTGTGTGCTGGCTCCTGCCCACTTTCCCAGACTCACCTTTCACTACTATCTCTTTCCTTTCTCCTCTGCCATCTATATGTCAGCCAGTTAAAGGGCCATTTCAATCCTCCAGCTTGCCTCAACCTCCAGCACTTGCTTCAACACCCTACCTTCTAGGAAGCTTTCCTGGTGCATTTTCTCTCTCTCTCTCTCTCTCTCTCTCCCCCCTCCCTCTTTCTCCCTCCCTCCCTCCCTCCCTCTCTCTCTCCCTCTCTCTGTGGCATGCTGGCTCTCAAGCACTGATGGAAGCTCTCACAGCCTCCTTCCCATGCTTACTCTGATGAAAAAACTTACTCTGATAACATTTCACTGCAGTGTCCTCTGTTTTCCTGGGTCTGAATCATTTAGAAATGTCATGACAATGTCTGGAACAGAATAGGTCCTTGTTTTCTGGCACAGATGTTCACATAGAGAGGGGAAAGATGGCAGGCTACCATCTCACCAATTGGGTCAAATCATAAAGGCCTTCAGATACCAGATTGTCTTCAGTGTAATAGAGTTATGTCAACCATCTTGATATTTGAAAGGGGTTACATTTGCAGTGAATAAAACAGCATATATTTAGGATAAATCTCACCTGTTCTTTTATTTCTAAGTTTGGATAATGGAATGCATAGGAAATTCTTCTCCCTCATGATGGGGAAGAAAAAGTTTATGTCATTGGATGTTATGGAAATGAACTGGATTATGGAATTACCACTTACAAACAGAAAACACAGAATCCAAGACTCAAATAGAAGACATCTGAAAAGTATGAGGACTAGTCTACAAAAGTGTGAAAGTCAACACACAGTGTCGATGGAGGAACAACTAGGAATATGAGGCCCTACGGTGATTTGCCCTTGGCTTACTCTCCAAGGGCATCTCATGTTCCCATACTTCTCCTTCACTGTGCCCTATTTCACAGGGAAAGAGCACTACAATGAAATGACACTGTAACACTGGCCTCATTTTGAACTTGCCAGTGACACTTCTGCCTCTCAGCAGGACCTTTATACTTGCCATTCTCTTGGCTCGGAAGAATATCTCCCATATAGACTTATTCATCCATATGGCTTGTGTTCACCCAGGCCTTTATTCAAAGGT